ACTCTCTGATTTATAAAAGAACTCCAAAGTTGTCGTTGAGACTCGGTTTTATGCCTCAGGATCTGTTTTCAATCGTAGTTTATAACTGGCCCTCTCTGGGTATCAATATCTAGTTTTTCTAAGTAAATTTTGCTAAAATTTATTTTTAACTTCTTTCTAAGATGCCTATATTATTTATTTTTCAAATCTACTTTGTTTTGTTTTATTTATGGTCCTACAAAGTAAGTAGAAGTCACCTTTCTAAAAAAGTAACATTGGTATTTTTTAGTTTTACAACCCTTTTGACTATTAACTATATTTCTAAGATAATTTGCTCTAATAGTTTGAACTAAGATCTCCTACATTATAATAATTTCCACACTCTTTCACCTATTAGTCATGTTACATCATGACACCGCAAACTTTGAACTTCTTCTATAAGTATAGGAATAGTACCTCCATAATTCATATTGAAAATATATGAGATTTATACAATTAGAGTGTTGACAAGCTCATGAAGATCTACAATAGTTACAAATCTATTCTCACTTTTGCTGAGAGTAGCATCTATAATCTTTCCTTCCATAGATAACTCAAATAAATTTAAAAAGTTAAATTAGAAGAAGATAATCTGTAACCTCTAATATCAACTGAAAATTTCTACAAAAAGAGATAATCCACTCTCTTTTAGGGATAGGTCAGTGTTACAAAACAAGATTATTTATTTAAAAGTAGATAGTGTGTAACCTTTGAAATATAACAATAGAAGTGGAGTAATCCACTCACTTCTAAAATAAGATAGAAATAGTAAATTAGTATTTTTGTCAAATTGTCAAGAATATGAATTTCAAAGAAAGAAATCTTTAATATACTCTTATGTCACTCAAAAGAACTAAAAAGTCACTTGAAGATGATATGGTATTAAACTAGAATGGTTGGCAGAGTTTGCATATAATAACATAGTACATTTTTCTACAAAATAAATACTTTTTTTTGCTAATTATGGTTATCATCCATGACTTGATACTTTTGACTTTTCAAAAGCTGATAATCTTGTGGCAAAAGATTTAGCAATTCATTTGTCACAATTACATGCAACAATGAAGGCATAGTTAAAAGGAGCTCAAGAACAACAAAAGATCAATGCGGATGTCTATCGAAAGGAACAACTACCATTCTACATGGGTGACAAAGTATGATTACTTCATCGCAATATCAAGACTACTCATCCTTGTGATAAGATGGACTATTGAAGGCTTGGACCATTTTCTATTTCTGCACAAATCAATCTAGTTGCATATTGTTTACACCTACCAGAGTCAATGAAAATCCATCCAGTATTCCACGTGTCTCTTCTTAAACCATACAAGATAGTGGACATACCAAGAAGAAGACAAGCTCCGTCTCTTCCTATAAAAGTGGACAATAATGAAGAATTCAAAGTGGAAGAAGTCCTAGATTCAAGGCAACACCAAAATAAATTGGAATATTTTGTCCATTGGCACGGATATGATATTAGTAAATGCACATGGGAGCCAGTTAAGAAACTTGCAAATGCAGCATAGGCGATGGAGGCTTTTTGTCGACAACATCCATCAAAATCAAGATAAAAACCTTCCTTATAAAAGAAACAAGATCTAAGCAAGATAACATTCTACTTTCAATCGTTGTTTGTAGCTTCTTTGTAGTTGTGACGTTGAAGAGATAGAGAACCAACAACCAACAGATTCGATTGAAGAGCCTTTGTTTGCAGACTTACTGAATGATAGATTACGATTGTTACAACCTTCAAGACGATACAATCGACATGAAGATCTTCAAGAATAACATGTTTTTCCTCGAATAGATGGCAAGATAAAATGCGTTTGGTATCACGACCTTGGAAGGAACTTTTGATGTTTGGTGATTTTACTAGAGGTAGAAACAACTCTTGACTGTGTTCCGAATATTTTATTTGAAAGAAGTTATGAAGGCCTCAACAATGATCAAATAACTGGGTGGTCTTCCCATCCTGGTATGGAATACTATCGATGGTTGAAAGGCCCTATTAATCATCTTCAAAGAGAACAAAGATCAGAGTATGTGTCAAATACAATTTGCCGCATCTTAGACTTCGTCGATATGTGATCACCACTCCTTGTCAACTCCTTTCTTGCTTATAGTCTAGTTTCAAGGGTCTCTAGTTTTCTTCTCTTTTGGCAATAGCCATTCGAGTTTTTTTTTTAATATACATATTTAGTTATTTCTATTTTGCCATCTTTCTTTGAAAAAAGTCTCACTTATTTATTTGTTTTTATCAAGTTTTTGCCTTGACAAGTTGAAGAACTTCATCTTGAGTGTAGATGTTTACTTAGTCTATTATTATATGTTCACTTAGTCTACTATTGTATATTCCTTGTGTCTTTGTTACTACAATTTCAGATCACAATTACTCATCAGATAAATTCTAAATAAGCATGTTTGTATTGAAGACAATCTAATTGGAGGCCAACGTGCTATAAAGTCAGCAAATACCT